CTCTTCTCGATCTTCTTGCAGTGTTGCCAAGATTAGTGTCATTCTCCTACAGGGGGTATGCAGATCACAAACACATCTAATCTAACACAGACTTTCTCTATTTTGTATGCAGACTGCAGTTTCATTCTTTTGACACATCCTGTTTGGGTTTTTCACCCCCTAATGATACTTTCAACAATTTGGTCTCTATTTTCATCCTTAATTGCAACTTCTTATTTGCACAGTGAGTTGTACTCAGAACCCATTCCTCCGTGGCCTTTATTTTCCTCTATTGTCACTTAAAATTAATTGATAAGCCAAGAACTAGATTTCCACTCTTGCAAGAATATCAAAGGGACCACCTCTACATTACTATCATTGTGTCTCTAGAACAGCGTAACAAAACCAACCTGCACCAGTCAAGGAAAATTCAATGATGCCATTTCTCAAAGGACACAGATCAATACCAACTTGTAAAAGACACCAACTCATGACAAAAGAAAAAAAAAATAAAATAAACAAAAAACCCCACCAGCCAAACACTGCACTATTTGCTTACCAAATGTGAAACTCCACATCCCTCTAAGACGAGCTGGCCTTTACCTCTTCTTCTATGGACATTTCTCCTCAAGAAGAATGATTAGATAGATAAATCTAACAGCATTAAGTAATCATCCAGGGAAAGCAACACACACTAGCTGAAATACAACACAAGTAGTAATCTGACCTCTCTGGAGTATGCAGCTATCAACTAACTTCCCCTTCTAGTGAGATCACAAGAGGAAGCTTAATGAGTAAAGGGCTGGCATGGAATAGGTAGCACCTGGGTTCTCAGCTGTCCAGCTGACCTGCTGTTGCGACTGAGCTCACATAATTTGTTTCCACTCCCGTCCCCTGCTTGTCTTCATTATCAGCTGTAAGTATGGCAAAGTAAGAGCCACCTTTTACTATGAGTTTTTCCAGGGCCCACCTCTGTTTCTGTGGCACAGTTAACAAGTTTTGAGGCAAGCTGGTAAATCAAAGAACAAGGAATAGAGTTCACTGAAACTTTTTCACACCACTTCTATCTAACTACATTCTTGGATTATCCAAAAGTTATTGAGCTTGGAAAACTAGAGAGACTTTTTTGCATTTACCTCCTTCCCCAACACCTAAAGCGTTTTGTTTGTTTGTCTGGGGTTTTTTTAAAGCAGCTTATTGTATCAGTTACTACACATTTTCTCAACTCTGAGCAGTAAAATCTGGTTTAGGAAAGCTCAATTTGTTTTTTCTCTCCCATAAAAATATAAACCTCTTGTTTTGACCATGCAAGATAAAGAACATAGCCACAAATATTCACAGTACCCAGTCAATCAACTACATATACAAAAGCCACGCACACAGCACAGAGATGATGTATGTGTAACACTATCAGGTTATTGCTTTTAATACCCTTTAAAGTCTCAACTACAGCTTTACTGATAAAGAGGCCTCTAACAATTTTCCCTGAGAAGTCACAAAATACAAAAACAGTTGCCATTTTTCGTAAACCAAAAGGTTCAATTTTCAATATTATTGCACCTATATGTTAAGGTAATAACAATGCTTATACATTAATCTATCAGTCTATAATGATCAATCAATTA